GTTAGGTAGAGACTTAGCTTTAGCGATACATTTTTAATGTAAAGTATACATATATTTAATAAAGCACACATACCTAGTCTGACAGAGGGTTTAAAAAAAAAAATAATAATAATAAATCATATATTTTAACTTTTAATATACTTAATATTATAAATTTTAATAAAATTTTTTTAAAATTAAAAAAAAAATAAGTATATTATTTTTAAACAAAAAATAAATAAATTTTAACAATGATGAGCATTATAAATATTATTGAAAGATAAAAGGTTCAAGAAATTTAATACTTTGAAAATTATTATTATTTAATTATTTGATTTTAAAAATATAATAATAAGAATCTTTAAATTTTTTAAATTTTTAATGAGAATAATAATTTTTTAAAAATTATTATTTTATCAATTTCAGATAAAATAAAATAAAAATATGGAAATTTTAAAATCCTAGAATTAAGTTATCAATAAATAAGAAAATATATTTTAATTTCAATTATTGATTATTAAAAAAATCAGATTTAAAATTTAGTTTTAATTTTATGTACATATACAGTAGTATAATATCTAAAATCACAATATAAGATGAAACTGAAAGTATAAATAATAGCTTTATATAGTTTTGGGTTAAGCTATTATTTTTTTATAGAATTTATCTTATATTTATTTTATATATTTATTTCATTTGTTTAATAGAATTTTAATTCTTTAAAAATAAAATATAATGTTGTATATACTGTATATTGTCAACTTTAATATTTTTATATTTAAAGTTTAACTATATATATAGTATATTTTATACGAATAATTATTTTTGAAAGCAAACCAGAATTCGTAATCATAATCTCAAAAATTATGATATCAAATTATAATTCTAAAATTATAATTTTAAAAATTATTTATTTACTTTTTATTATATATTTATTGATCAACTTGTTTTGCATAAGAAAATTTATAAAAATATATGCTATAAATACATTTTATTAAAATCGAATTACTTTTTATTGCCTAACAATATTTTATTTAACAATTTTTTTAAAAAGTCAATATTAGAAATTCTTTATAAAGATTTTAATATACTGCATACGTGCAGTATGCATGCTGTATACTATTGTGCTCACAGCATATACCTTATCAATATATTCACCGTTACCAAATACGATATTAACAGGATTTTGGGGGCACCTTAATGGGATCGCCAAGATAAACACTGAATGCTGTCGCCGAAGGAAAAAACACGTTGGCTGCAGAAATTGTGCGAATTATTAACCCGTTAGGAAAAAACTATATTTTTAGATCAGTGCCGCGACCATTAGTGACAACAGTCGATTCCCACCAAGCCTGTATTCTCAAGTATTTTAAAAAAGAATCCATTGCGCGTGAGAAAATCAAATAGCTCTAGAACCAATCGCATGAAATGGTTAAAGCTCACGGGTCAATGAAAATTTTATATGAACGAGCTCAAACCGAATTTAGTGCCCGTTCCATCTATCTCGCATCATGTCACGCACGGAGGGAGAAGAAGATGCAAATATCATTTCGAAGTCAATTAATTACCTTGCTTCTAATGAGGCAATGGTTCAAACTATTTCCTAAGAGTGAGGTCGTAAAGAGGGAGATTAGAGAGTGCAAATTGAAGTGCCGGCCGGGTTCGTAGCCAAGGAATCGGATGAACATAAGATAATTCGATTTAATTTACGCACATACAGTATGTAAGTGAATCTTTATCAGACAGGCGACCGAATATTCAATGCATCGCACCTTCACCAAACGCAACTCCCCCTTGATTGAACGTGAATTCAGAGGGATGTTAATTTACGGAGGGAACTTCTTAAGGGTCCCGTATACTTGAGGCCAAGCTTGAAGATGCATTCAGAGAGAGTAAACATGGAGAGAATGAATCTAGAGTGAATTCCCTGCATTTTTTTTTTTTTTCTTTTGAAACTACCGTAATTGTAATACAATCGTTATATTTATATATTGTAACGTACAATATCTTTATTACGTAAGACACAAAGTGAGAATTTCCGCATCTTGTTCTCAACACGCCATTTTGTTGATATTTTTGCACAGACAGATCACAAATTTACGGGTTTTTACGTGTAATGAGTAATACCAAAGATGTTTATCTTTATGTGCGTACGGGTGGATATTGATAAAAATTTCGGGTCTCGGCAGTTCCTTTGCAGAATATAGAGTTTCCTGATTGAAAATTTTTAAAATTTGTGTCAAATGTTCATTTGTAACATAACACCTCAAAATATCCGAGAAAAGAATCAATCTAACCATAAAGATGATAGAAACATTTTTGGGGAAACATATTGTCATTTATGGGAAGGAGGGGGGAAGGGTTCGTCTGTGCATTTCCTGATTCTCGCCAACTATGCCGCTGCATTGGAAAAATTAAAAAATAATAGAGATGATAATAATTCACTGACCCTTCGCTTCCCGGTCCTTAAAAAATAAAGAAATAAATAAAAATTAAATACATTGACCATGGGTAAATAAATAGACCTAAACAGAGAAACGTTTTTCCTTATCGTAATTATGTCGCTAAGCACCTTCGCAATTAACCGACTGCCGAGACAATGCTAACGGACCATAAGATTGACCCATTAATTCCATTGTGTAGATGTGTAACTCGCCATTGTGATGTCTCAACATATACAAACAAGAACACCTTTCTACTCTCGTAGAAATACACGTGATCAAATAAAAATTTTTGACACAAAGTCGTGCCATAGGATCGACATGCGCATTTTTTTTTTTAAAGCGTCACAGATTTTCAGATTTTCAAAACATTATCGTCGGATTATTTCCTAAACCGATTTTATTGGATACTTATTGCTTCTCTCTCTATTTGTATTCTTAATTGTGCCGCATAGGAAAATCATACATTTTGGCATAAATCATATTGTCTAAATTCTTAAGAATGTGTATACTCCATAGAATTCGGTGTGGAAGATGACGTGATCATTTCGTTTGATGGAGTATTCGATTGCGAATCCAGTCCTTGAGCGATATACGCCTGTGATGTCTCAATAGCTTATAAATGATGGCGTCGTGTTGAAATGATACTTCGATCCCAAGTCGATGAAAAAACATGCTACAACCAGGATAAAGAATTTTTGGGAGCGGACGGGCGGAGACAATTCCGGACAGACGCAATTGGTTGTTCGTTTCGAATTCGGAGATATCAGCCGGCATACCGAAATCCCATTCCACGCCTAATTTAAAATAAGCGCAATATTGCGTACATATCAATAATTACAGCAGTCATTGATAATAAAAAAATCTTTCACCCCGAGCCAGACAATCACCAACTTGCCCGTACCTTTATTTGCGGCTTGGTATGCATGACCCAAGAATGTGTGAGCGACAAAATCCCCAACTACGTAATTCCTATTGGGTATAATTCTATTGGACACTATCACTTCTCCGACTAATTGAGCCAAATCCTCTCTGACAGTGACATTCAGGAAGATGTATTGATTGGGACTATTGAACGCGGTTGTTATTGTCGAAATGTCGTGCTTGAGAATCTCTTCGTCAAATATTCCGACCTGGAGCAACACCCATTTCATGGAATTGGGATGGTTGTTCGCCGATGCTTGATATTCAATTAGTCGTTTATGTAATCTTGTCCGTGGACTTCTTTTATCCATAATGTGATGCTCTCTAATTTAGAAAATTCGGAAGTTTGAGAACCAATCTCGTTCGAGTGCCATAATGTGCATGCATTATGAGATTGAGTAGGACTATAATTTTTCTGTTGCCGCCATGACCACAAAGACGATCTATTCGTTTATTTGTGAATGCCGGTTTTTTGGTGTTGGGCATTAATATAATTAATGGATTGATAACTATATTTATGCTCAATACCATAAACCCGTTGCTCGACAACTTTACATAGCGTGAATTCCTTAGAGACGAGACTCACAGCTCCATTCCCGCGTCCCACACAATAAATAATTCCACGTTTTGTCTTATGCAGGCGTTGAGTAGCATTTCTTGTCCATCGAAGTTATTGTAGAGCATACTAATGACCACGGTTGCATCTGGGAGAAACGGAAATGATGTTGAGAGACCCGAATAAAAATAGAAGAATAAAAAAACGAATTACCCGTAATTCTTTCTTACTAGATACACCCCACTCGAAATAGAGTTGGGATTCCCAGCGCCCTGGAACTTTGATTGCATCGATTTCCATTTTAGCATACTTTTTAGGAAATGATCCAATGACAAGTTAGCAATTAAAAAAAAAAAAAAAGAAAGGAGAAGGAATATAAATAAATAGAGTAGTAATAGCAAATAGCAAATAGCAAATAGCAAATAGAAAATGGAAAATAATAATGATAATATTCATTCCGACAGACTTGTGTTAAATTTTCCGGATAAAAAATCTTAACGATTCGAGCACCCTTTTTTCTCAAGACGGTCACTATGCAATTTGTCAGATGTAAATCTTCGTTACAGATGATCAATATTTCTGCTTCGTGAATGTCTACTTCGAAATTGACTTGTCTATCAGGGCTTCCCGGAGAGTAATTTCCACGGGGGCTATCGAGTTTTCTCGGCATCATGAGTTAAAAAAAAACTTGTTTTATTCTTAATGCCTTTAGCGGCTTGATAGGTGTTGGGTGTGTATACTTTATGTTTAGACTCCTCACGGTCCGATTTAATTTAATTTAATCTTCGACGGCACCGAAAAAAAAAAGAAACCAGCGTGGCTTTATATAAATCACCTCATCAACTTTTAGTTAAACAAGTTTATGCACAATGTGTCCTCTCTAGTAAACAAAAAAAAAAAAAAAAAGTCAAATTATTTCCATTGTGATGATAAGAAATCAGGTTACGTTTTGTTTTTCGTTAGGCGTTTTATATACTGTATGTTTGTTTGTTATAATCGAATGGGTGTCCATTAAACGAATCCTATTTTGGAGCAGTCAAGATGCACAGAGAAACAAATATAACTTATTTTGTTTATCTGTTAAGTCTCGCCAATAAATATTATTCTTTAAAACCTTATTCATTTTCTTTCTCATGTACTAAAATGAAATCCAATAACTATTGATTCTCTGAGAAGTGCATTTTGACTCTTCGGCACGGGCTCGTGAATGTGCTGTGGCAAACCTTCGTTTCTTCTATTCATTTGTCGGTTGCTTCGCGAACGAACGGCGAACGACACATATTCCTTAAATAACATTTGCGACCATGGATACCATGCACTCGGCACGCGGACGCTCGGTTTGTTATACAACGAAGGCATGAACGACCGTGGTCAACAATCCTCTAATGATCATTCTTTTCACTTATTCGTGGTATCGATAAATTTTAATTTATTATTTTCGGATAATCTAATCTCGTTGACGTTGGAGTTCAGAAAAAAAAAAAAACTCTATCTCTATTTTGACGTGTTTTGGGTGTTTTTTTTTGTTAGTTTGTCGCATCCATTTGGCGAATTAATAAAGGTGTTTCATTTTTTTTTTTTTTTTAGAAAGAGGTTGAACCGCGTTTTCGACAGTAAATTCTGTGGGAAACGAAGAACGACCGGTACTCTTCCACCTCTCGAGAATACTTGTTCACCATTTCGTTATACTCTTCTTCTTCTATGCCCATCCATCCGGGTAACTCTCTCATACCGCGAAACGCGGAGACAAAAGATTTTATGGCCTTGAATCATAACATAGTGAAGAAAAGAATTTACTTCGTACTTTGTGCACAGTGCAAGGGGCTTCATCATAGTTATAACATTGCAAAACAATACTTCACCAAATCGCCCAAGTGTCCTGCCCATTTCCCCAGACCAGAAAATCTTTCTTCTGTATAAACGGTTTCAAGCGTTTCCATTGACTCCAAAAATTCGGAAATTTCTTCACTGATCAGACCGTTGATTCCTTTCGACGCAAGGTAACTTGTCACTGTTAAAAGGGCGACAGCGTTAGCTTGTGTTCGGATATTTTCTCAGGAATCTGTGATAAAGCCGGAACTCACGGGTGGTGACCATTCGTCGAGAGGCGGGTCCAAAAGATTGACCGTCGATATCGAATTCACATAATTCCAACCATCTCTTGGGTTTCGTGACTCTGGTCACTTCCGGGATGACCTTTTCTTCCCATTGTTGCTCGGTAAATGCGGTGTTGAGAAACCTGATGTGCACAAAATCAAATGAATCCGCGTCGAAGGGTATTCCTTGTAATACATCGGCCTGAACAAACTCCACATTTTGTAGATCGGTGTTCGTTGGAAATACTGGGGACATGTCGATACCCGTGTAATGGTTCATTGGATAATCTCGAGCAAGTTGTAGCAACCAAGTACCGCTCCCGCAACTTTGTGGAAAAAAAAAGAAAGAAAAAGGAAAAAAACAGATGTGGATACACTATATGGATAATAAAGCATGGGTTTTATCATCGGGAGAAGGTAGTATATACCCTACATCCAAAACACGTAAACCTCCAATGATCAAGTCTTCTTTAATTGGAGACACAAAATCTCCTCCCCATATGCCCCTCATTAGTTCATGCTGAGCATCCATCCTTACAACTTCAAGTTCGTCGTTTGGAAAGGGATAACTGGAGCCTTTGACATTATGAAATCTCCTGCCATCAACATAACGAAATGGTACATTATTCTGAGACGGGCGACGACTGCCATTAACTTTGCCGGTTGTGTTATGAGACATCGTTTATATCAACAGAAATCCGTGATGTTTTTTTCTCCCCCCCTTTTTTTTTTTTTTTTTTTTGCGATGAGGAAAGTTTGAATTATTCCAGGGAACATTCCTTTTTATCGGACCTCGTATGCACATAATAACCACAAAAACCCTGTCATTGCGATGATCAAAGAGAACGTAAAAATTTTGTATCACTTTCAAGTACAGTAAGAGCGTAAGTTGGTCAATGTATAGCTCCGTGAACAATGAAATCCATGGCTTTATAATAATATGTTGATTGTTCAAATTGGATTTTTAAAGAGGTGTTTGGAACGGGTCCGGTCGGGCTCCCCAACCTCTGGACAAATGGTGGCTCGGCCATTTCGTTCTTTATGGTTTGGAAAATTGAAAACAAATCATTTTTTTTTTTCTCACTTTCTTTTTTTGCGTTACAAGATAATTTACATTGACATGACTATAATTTCCATCACTTCACAAATAAAAAAATGTTGCACAATGTAAATGTCGACATCCGCTGATGCAGTGTAAAAATTCTTAATAAGAAACCAAACAAAATGGACAATAAATTGGTGTACCGAGCAATGTCGTTTGTGTTCGTGTTTATTGTTTTTTTGGTAGGACTACGCTGATTATTGCACTCAACTATTGAGATTCTCAATCGCATAAAGGGTGTTGTTATCCACAAAATTTTAATTTGTACAAGTTTTCATACATTCGTGAAATTGTTTGGAGATTTGCGTAGTAAATAATGTTCCTACATATCGTGTACCCATAACGATTAATTATGCAAACCTAAATTAAGTGTGGAATCCTATTGGTTTTTTGGATTCTCCAGGCGCATGTTTTTTTTAAAGCATCCTTTTCGTTCACATGAAAAATAGAAATATTATTTCAAGGAGAATAGGTATTCATTCCACGTAATCACGTGAGTGCATCAATTAAAATACGTTGTGCTATATTCTTTTAATTAATCAATATTTATATATTTTACTCAACCGATAACAAAATTATTCAAAGTTTTATCTAATACGTAGTTCTTAGTTAACGAAATAAGTGAATTGGTTATTCTTTATAATTTCGTTATTCCGATTATTTTGTCGTATTATTGCAAATTTGGTTTTTCTTTTTTTTTTTACATTTCGGATTTTTTTATATGCATGACTGTACGCCATATACAATCATCAGTGACATGCATCATTTTTAACTTTCAATTGGATTTATTATTTCAATATTATTATTAAGCATCTATTAAGCATCTTAGGTACTATACTAAGCAAGAAATTTTGTTCTTACAAATACCGTATATACCGTACCCATAAGTATAGAGTATTTTATTTCCAATTAAATATTTGCTTATAAATTCAACAATATAAAAAAATGAGTATATAAATATCTAAATATTTTAATTTACAATATACTATACTGTATATGAACTAATGACAAATGTCCATGTCAGATTTATAAATTACAACTTAATTCAATGATCACCTATTATAATTGTTATTAAATGAATCAAATATCTCGAATTAATAAATAGAAATACTGTATATCGTATCACATGAGTTATTGTAATAATAATGTTTTGTAATTTATTTTATATTTAATATAATTATTAAAATAATTAAATAAATAAATAAATAAAAATTTTTTTGCAATCTTAATCATACGAATTATTGTAATAATAATGTTTATAATTTATTTTATATTAATGTAATTATTTAAAATAAATATATAAACAATTTTTTTTTTTTTACAATAATAGTCATTATAATACATCTTTATTGAGATATTTAATAAACATCACAATATTGACATGAACTTTTGTATAACAACTAACTTATCTTTATATATTATTGGTTTTTTTTTTTTAATTCTCTGTCAGGCCAGTTATGTATACTTTATTAAACATTTGTAAACTATACATATATGAATTGCTAAAGCTAAAAAATATTAACTAGCCTACTCGTCTTTGTAATTACTACTCTAAGTATAACTTTGGAAATGATTTATTGCTTCATTAGGGATTCAGGTGAAAATTCTTTCAACTCTTAATATTATTTCCTGCAGGTCACTACTACAGATCACTCTTTCAAGTTCTAACATTATTCAAAATCCAACTATCTCATCCCAAACTTAACTCCTCTTGATAAAATATCTTTAAATCTTTATCTTCTAATTTTTCTTTCTTTAGTATTGGAGCTTTCCTTTCCAATCACATAGTTTTAGCACCTAAAAGATTAGGAGTCTTTTTATCTTATCCTTTTTTTGAATTCCTTGCAATATTTCCCATTTTATCATTCTTTCACATCTTGTATTTCAGACCTTCTTCTGAAACTGGTTATAAGTCATACTTTTCAATTTTTTGATTCATCTTCTTGCTTATTTTCTGATTTTTCTATTATGACATTTAAGGTTTACTATTTCAAAGATGAGTTCACTTCTTATTAATCCTACAAAGAAACTTAATATATCCCGACTAGTTGCTAAGAACTGTTCTACTAACCTGGCTATCCACTTGTATATTTTACCTAGTTCTTCACTGTCATTTACTATTAATCTAGTATTTTTTTTTTTCTACTTCCTTTTTCCTTTCTTGCAAAAGTTTTCTGAAATTCATTAAAACTCCTTCAAAACCTTTATTTTATATTTTCTTTATTTGTTTCTTGTACACTAGACATTCTAGCAAGTGATTAATTGTTTCTTTCACCTGAAGATCATATGCAATACATTTTATTTGCTTGTATAGATCTGGCCTTCTTATCACCAGTTTACTTAATATTAGTAGCATATCATTCATCAGCTTTATAAGAAAGCTTTTTCTTTGAGAATCTTTAAAAGATGTATCTTACATATAACTATTTATTTTCTTTTATACAATATTCATATATGGCCTTGTTGTTCTTGAATTTGATAACTTCATTTTTTTTAGTTCTGTTTTATAATGTCCACTGATATATTGTAGTTTTGTTATTCATTTTCTTGATAAATTGTCTTATGGGATCATCCAAAGTTTTGTTCTATTACTTAATTTCTATAGGGATTTTATGTGAGATGAGATTTTTTTATTCTATTGCTGGAAGTTTGAGAACATCTTTGACTAAGGCATCTGCTTTATTATTGTAGGGGCTCAAGAGTATTCCTTAATCTTGATAAGCTTCAAATCTAGATCTTTTTTCTTGACCAACTCTATCATTCATACCTATAATAATTAGTTTTTATTCTTTAACTATTTTTTATGCATTTTTTTTAGATCATATTTCTCAACTATTTTCCATTTTGAGATACATACTAAACTATCTATAGAGATTTCAATTAAGCTATCTATTGGAATTATTGGGAGTATTGTGATTATTGTTATTAGTTCTACATGTGTAAATGAGAATCAACTGTCTATCCTTGTTTAAATTTTATTTTCTTTTTCTGAATCACTTATTTGGATCCATGCTACAACCATCTTTATATTGTTACTGCCATTATTAATTAGTGATCAATCTAAAAAAAGATTAACTTTTATTTAGATTCTTGATTATGCTAAAATATCTCTATTAAATAATTTTGATATGCTCCTTATTTAATATTCTCTTAATAATTGTTTCTTTCTAATTTTCTATATTTATGTAATATACTTTGGTACCTTGAAAAGTGGACTGCTGGAATGACCCCTGTAAACTCTGTACAAATACTTGATTGTTATCTATTATTTTTCTGATTGCTCTTTCCAGAGATATTGTGGGATATGGGATTGTTAGCATCTAGACTCTCTTAATACTTTTTCTTATATTAAGATATGGTATCATATATATCTTTTTATATCTTCCTTCATAGTGCAACTTTGTTCTTGGATAAAATCTTCTGGATAACTTGTGTATTTAATTAGTTTTGTCTCTTATTTATTTTTATTATTCTGATATCTGTAGTATTCAATCTTTGCTTTTTTCTTAGATACTTCTTGTAGTAGCTTTCTTTATATTAGTTGATGATTAGCATTCTTTTTAATTATTCATATTTTTTGTCTCTTGTTGATTAAAGTAGACTGTAGAATATGTTGGCTTCCATTTTATCTAATCTATTTTCCATGATTCTATAAGTTGATTTAAAAGATCTTTAGGAAACATCTTATTTATATTTAAGAACCATTCTGGAATAGAGCCTTTGCCTATTTTTTGGATGAGTTGAGGCATGTATTAATTTCTTACTTCACTTGCTTCATAATCAATAATCTGATCTATATATATCAACCTGTTGTTTCTTAATAATAGTATAGCTTTATTATACTTCTTAGATAAGAGATATTTTCTAATCAGATTATTTCCTTTTTTCCATTCAATAATATCATACTATTTCCAACTTTGAAAAGTAATTTCCATATCTCTAACTAACTTAATTACTTGAAGTAAAAAGTTGTTTTTATTCATAAGATAATCTAGTAAGTCACAAGTCAATAGATTGTGTAGTTTCTGATATTTGATTTGTGCTTATTTAAGCCTTATGATTGTTATGATTCCTACTGATCCAAGATCATTTAATCTATTGCACAATTCTATTATCTGACTTTCTTTTTGTAGCATCCAAATGCTCTTTAAATTATGGATCTTTGAGTGATATATTATACTATTAAGAGTAGATCTATATAATAAACTTTTGTATTTGAAGAGTTTTCTATATGTCACTATTAACATATTGTATATTTTTTAGGATAATATACTATGCTGCATTCTAAATTCTATCCCTAATATTAATATCCTATTTATAATATAGTGTATCTACTTATCTATAACCTTTTTATTTTTAAAAGTTCTGGTGATTACATAAATTTCTTTGAGTACTCTTTCTTTTAGTTCAATTGAGATCTTTTGATTGCC